AAGCGACGCGCCGAAGGACACGGAAGCGGATGATATGTTTGCAATTGAATACCTAGTTCCGAATCGGCGTGTTTGTGCGCGAGCAAATTTATTTAAGTATTCGACGCTCACGCTCACTACTCTGCTACAAATTTCCTGAATGTACGCTCCTATTTATCCAATATGCAAATTCAGCAATGCAAAACGCGTTAATATTTAATGCATAACTTAATTGTATACCCTGAGATTTCAAACAAGATGAAGTGATTTTTTTGTGATAGAAAACATTAATCTTAGTTCCTATTTTATACTATGGTGTCGCACATGGTCGTTGTAGCACAAGTCCAACATTAGCATTAATAGTATATGAATAAGTTTAAGAGTCCCGACTGGAAAAATATTTGTAAAACCGCACAGATCGAACATTAATTAATTTATGCCCATTGCGAGAATTGAAAGCGACTTTCGCCGGCAAGTAATCCAAGTGTAATTCGAAAGAATTTATTTACGAGCGAACAAAACACATTAAAACAATTAATTGGAATTTAAAACATTTGTAGGCGGCGCCGGACTTGAGGGCCGTCGCACGTGGGGCGGCAGTGGCGCGCATCTCTTCCGCCTAAGCGTACCGTCGAGGACCGACCTCGAATAAACAAAACGTACAAACAAACGCGGCGTGCGCGCCCCACACGAACAAAACATGAAAATCGCATTTTCCACTTACGCGTTTGCATTCCGGCGCGAAGTTCGGGTCCGCCGTTATAAGCACGCACCGTGGTACTATTTCGAAAATGAAACACGAGCCATCCGCGCGCGCGGCAGGCGGCGGATAAAACAGTCGAGGAGATCCTGGAAGCAGCGCACTTCAGTCTAGAACTCTAGAGGCGAGAAACCATCGCTCGCGCTTTTTCCGTTTTTCAAGACACAAGTGACAGAGTGGCAAGGTTTGCGCACGTAATTGGTTTTCGAGTAAATGTTGATTGTTGTGATTTTCCTCGGGCCGGTTATAAAAGTTGGCGTAAAAGGTATAAAATGTAAATCATATCCAGTGACTTTATGGCTGCATCGAGCCACGGCCACGACGTGCTCGTAAAACTTCTTTTTATTTTTTTTATCAGAAAATGATTATTATATTTATTCGCATTAAAAATATATAAAGCCCCATAAAACCTGTAATTGACCCCGATAGCATCGATGCGCTGCGGCGCGCGCTGATGGTCGAAACGCAACAAGTTAGCGACCGAATTACGAGCGAACTGCGCCGCCCCCCGCGCGCGCCCTCCGCCGTTTGGCGCGATCATTAAACACCGAGGGTGGATTTCCTATTAGTTTTTTAACGATTTTATTATTATATGTCGGTCGGAGCTAAATAAAAGGGGAGCGACGAAGTTATTTCCGCCCGGCGCCTCCACCACCTCAGCATTGACGTCGTTGACGTCGCTCAAGAGGAGGGATGAGGACACGAAGGGGGAGTCAGCAGTGCCGGCAGCGTTTAGTGTTTTCGGTTGTTTTCGCAGCCTGCGGCGGGAACGTCGAGATGTGCCGGGGGCGGCGGTGAGTGCGTGTTAGGGACATTCGAGGCGTTCGATGCGTAAAAAAAATAGCACTGGAAACGGGCGCGCTGGGGAAGCCGCACGCGGAGGGTCGCCGCCACCGCGTCTCGAGTAAATAGAAGTGGTATAAAGTGGTACGAAGTAAATAACCTACAGGTGGTGGAAACCTATCTTCATTGACAGTGAGAAATGGCGCGGATCGACAAAACAAACGGCCGCCGTCGAGGACGCGTCAAAAACGCGCGCGGCCGATTCGATACCGGGGCAGGCGGTGGCGGCAGGCGGCATTAGGAAGATGCGAGGCAAGAAGACGTAAACAACAGCAACGGATTTGGCCTCGCAGCCGCCGCCGGCTGCCTCAACGAGTAATTATGATTTTCATTTTCGTCGCGCGACGAGGGCGCCCACGGCTCTAATTGTCCTTGGCGGCGGCACGACGCGCCCTGCGGAAAATGGGTCAAACTCATTAGTCGCGCTTCGCGCCACGCGAAATTTTCCGCACAACAAGAAATTTATTGTTGCGCTGCTGCGCGACTACCGATTCCGAAATTCCACGCGCATAAATCCAGTCCTGCACTCGACTTCGAGGTTGCAGCGAAACCGAGCCGAAGCGGGAAGGAAAACATTTTTAAACTTGACGGCGCACGCCGCGGCAAACTTTTCGCAAATGCCAACGGCGGAGTTGACTCTCCGCTACGCGGAAAATGTCAATACGACGCGTGACGCCCGGCGAGCATTGAGTGAATTCGGCGTTGTTTATAAAACGCTATAAAAAGCATTCGGAAAATTGTTTTCGTTTAAAATATTCCGCGCGGAGTTCGACTTTTCGAGGCGGGCGTCTTGGGAGTGCCGCCGACATGCAGACGCCGGAAAGCGGAAAGGTTTAAACGAAATAAATAACGTCGCGGACGCAACGGCAAGATATCAATGCCGGTATTATGTCAGCCCGTCGAAAACTCATTGACTGCGCGAGTGGCGGAAACGCGTTGGGAATTCGTCGCTGTATTCGGACGGCGCGAACTTGTTCATTTTGTCCAAGATCAGTGCTGATTCAATTCACTATTCTCAACTATTCAGTTTTGAGTCAATCTTCCTCGTACAAAACCATTATTATTGTCACTTTAAACCGAAAAAACAGGGTACCTATGTTACCCAGACAGCGCAAAATGACATCTGTCATCTGGAACGTAACCTACCCATGTTTTATTTATTTAATAACAAGGGTGGTAGTTTTTTTAGCGTCAAATCTATTTTGTAGCAAAAATTTGTAGGGTAGAATGTTGTTAGGACGTGTTGTCCCTTTTGACCTTTTCTTAAAACTTTTCATTCTCCGGCACCGAAAAATTCAAATCACATTATTACCCGCTCGCTCTAAGTAGCGAAGTGGTGCGTAATTGTTATTTGCATTTTTTATACGAGCAGCGTGCGCTCGCGCACAGCCCCCATAATTTGAATGTTCCCGGTGAAACTTGAAAGAGTAATAATGTGCATAAATATTGCAGCACAACAAGTTGACGACGCGGATGCTTTTATAAATTGTTGTTAATATTGTTAATATTTAATCAGGATAAGTTGTCCGTCGAGCGCGCCATGAAAGCTTAACTATGTTTCACTCATGCGGTTAAATGCAATAACAATCCGACGCGGGCGAGCTGTGGCGGCAGCGGCGCCGTCGCCCGCCACCGACGGGCGCACACCGCCCAACAAACAGAACGAGACACTGCGATACGAGTTGTTTTACGTTCGAATACGTTATCTCGGTAGCGGTGGCAGCGGTGGCGGCGGCGCCCACCACAGCACCCCGATGCAAATTTTATCTATACGTGTCGCATTTCGAATTCAATCGTTTTTAACGTTCGTTTAATCGATCACGATGATTAATTCATAATAAACCGAATGAATGCGGCTGCGAATCGAGCGCGGCCGTAACCAGTAACGAAATGATTTCCACGATGAAAATGTTCAAAACTGTTTGGCGAAACGTTATAAAACGCGTGCAAATTGCAAATTCATTACGGCGGATTCTTTAATTATCGTTCAGAGAGGATCGTAAAAAGTGCGCGCGGCGTTGTATTACAGCTGGAAAAACACATCCTTTGTCAATTTTTTTTTTCACAAAGCTGAAAAACTTTGCAACGTTCGGTTGGGGAGCTCGAAAGTTTTTCGGTTGTAGTCCGGGTTTTTTGTTCTCGAACGCATTGCGCCCGTGTGTGCCTAATTAAAAATTGATTTCAATCGCGCCGCGCTAAATTAATAAATTTTACAAATATTTCTAGCAAATTAATTAATTAAAATGTGAAACATTTATTGCGCGACAAAATGCAGCGTGTGTTCATTCAGAGTCATATCGCTCCGAATTAATATGGGAATATTACGAAAATCGACAAAATGTTAATTAAACGCGCCGGTCGTGCGCGCATGCCGGCCGGCCCGCTGTGACAGATAAATGTAATGAAAACAATTGGAAAATTGCGTTTTCATATGTTTAAAAACTGAGTCAAAAATCACACCGCGTTGATTTTATTTATATTTATGCTTCGCGGCTCCATTTTATCACTCAACCCCCTCGCCACCCGCGCGCCCACCCTGCCAAAATAATAACGCACACGAAATAAACGTCGCGCATGCTAACCCAGGGTCGCATTCTGTCGCATGAGATTGTTATACCTGGATTCAAATAAGTATTCGCCATGATTTAATTATAATTAGTAGCGTGCGCAAAATTAATGTTTATCTTTCGCATAAAGGATGATTGCACGATTTCACTTTCACGGCGGATTCGTTATGCTCACTTTTGCCGGCGGGTATGGGCGCTGCACTTGGCTAAACACTTTCCGGCTTTATTGCATACAATTAAATAAGTTAATTATAATTAATTCATAAGCCGATTTAATTAATTGCGTGTTTTATTGTGGTGTGTTTTTATTCGGCAACTAAAAGTTTGCAACAATTGGTTTACGCGTTGTTGGCGTTTAAAGTTTTATTTACTCGGCGCAACGAAATTTAATGTTGCATTAAATTGTGTTCGATGATCATTTGAATGCTGTAATTGTTCGCAGTGTAATTAAAAACTGCTTGTACATAAAATAAAATAAAACATTGAAAATTGTTTGAAAATAATAGCAATAACAACGCACTGCGCCGGATACAAGTTGACAAACATTGTGGAAAACGTATGCGCCGTAGGTTGGGGGCGGCGTAATTGACTGGCGACTATTTAAAAGCTTTTTAACGAACACACCTGCTCGTCAACTCACGTGTCTATTTTTAATGCGGCGATTCGAAATAAAATAATGCTAGATGATGAACGCGCGGCGCGAAACGCGAAAGTCATGCACACACGGGTGGCGCGCATTGGTCTTTTCGGAGGCGGCGCGCATGCCGTTGCGGCGCGCGCGAGCCGACGTGCGTCGCGATGCCGCCGAACGCGGTTCAGTTCAAGTCGAGCCGCGCGTGCCGCCGCTGCACAGCCACCGCCACAGCTCTCGCTCGCTCGCCGCCCTCACATTTTACGCGCGCAAACTTCGCCGCGAACTTCAAAGTCAGTTCGTGCTTTCAAAGTCATCGGGCGTCGGTCATCGATTGCTCAGCTATCGGTTCCGTTGTGATTTAATTAAAATCGTAGCGGGCGCGTTAATTGACTGCCACTTTGATCGAGCGCCGAGCGCCGGCGAAAAATGATAATGACCTGTGACACCCGCGGCGACTAACCGCAGGAAGACAACGACGTTGACAGCTACGTCGATAAAATGTAAGAAAATTATTTCATCAAAACATTTTTTTCCTGTTTTCATTTTTAATTTCGTGTGATTGTTGCAATCGCAATTCGCTTGCATTTGCTTAATTTGAAATCTTCGAAAGACGTAGGCCGACAAGCAACTTAATTAAGAAGAATAAATATTTTTTATGTCGACACGAAATATGGAAGCAGTCCAATTAAAAATTTACTCGTTTATGCGTCGAGTCGTTTACACGTGTCTCGCGGAATTCTCGGCCGCCGCCGCGCGTTGGCAACAGGAGGCGGCGGTTGCATTATTGCTTGGCGTAAATTTGCGTGGAGAAAAAAAAAATGACCGTGCACGTCTGCCGGAATCTAAGAGGAAAAAAGAAAGCTGCTTTTTAGAAAAAAAAAACTGGAAAAAGGAAAGATGTGGCAAAGCAAAAGAGAGGAGCGCATCAACACAACACGGACATGTAGAACACGAAAAACGAAAATCTTGTTAAGCAGATAATTACGGCTCGGGATTTTCTTTCCTTACATTTTTTATTCATAATGACTTCCTAAATCCTTAAGGATCTCACGCTCGCGTATTCGCGCGCACTCCGGGGCGGAGAAAACGTCGTAGAAAATTGGCGGACGTTATCAATCGTTCGTTCTCATTACGACGTAAACACGTGTTGTGCACAATAATTACTTAATTAGATTAATCGCACGCGCAATTTTTTTTTTGCGTTTTTCGTGTGTTGCTGTAATTTTACGATCGCGATAGCGAGGAGGATAAAAGTTCGCAGGCAAGTCGCCGAGTTGAATTTAGTAAACTAGGCGAAATAACGAGCTCACACGGGCAGAACTTTCCGAGTTTGTAAGTTTTAATCCTTTTCATATTTCATGTTTATCACATGCGATAAAGGCGGATACGCCCGCGAAGAACAAGAAATGTTTTACAATAGTAATTCAACTTTTTATTTCAACTAACACACAAGTTACGCAGCACAAAAAACGGCGCTAATGCAACATGCTTCAAAGCAATGACATTTTTCCGGAGTTGTTTTCCACTTTAATCAAATGCGCATCAATTGAGCCGGATTATTCATAAACATCGTCCCCGGCTTCATCAAAAACAAAATGAGAATTTTCAGTAGCGGTAGTGCGGTCGTGCGTGCGGCAATTAAAATGCACAAAAAAGTAACGCAAATTAATAATGAGTTCATCAACGTCGATTCATTTTTCGAATCAATTTATGCATTATTCAATTTGGACTGCAAATAGCGAGAATCACAGAGTAATGCATGCACATAATCAAAATATCCAAATAATAAATAAACTTTCATATTTGTGTGCAAAAAGTTATTGCAATGCGAAATTTTATCGGACATTTAATTATTTATTTATTAAATTAATATTAATAACACGCATTCATTTTGTAATAATGTCTTGTTTGATTGCACTGGGACTGCTGTACTCGTAGCACTATGTCTAACATATTCCCGGATCAGCATTTCGAGTTTATTCGGGGGGCATCTTGCTTTTGACAAAAACTTTGCTTTTTTTAGCTATTCTGAACCGTAAAGTGTGCTATTTGAGAACTTTGTTGCTTTGGCTATTGAAAGTACGGGCAAGTAATAGAAAGCAATAGAAATGTTGAAAAGCAGACGCCTGCAAAGTGCACTTGTTATTGAGTAAACAATTTTTTTTGTTATTTTGAGGTAACGTTATACACTTTATGGATTTTATCATTTTCTAACTTCGGATATGGTATAGGTGGCCATATGAATTATTGCTGCAATGAATAAAGTAAAAATAAAGTATAAAAGAGTTGTTAGGTACAAATTGCATTGTTGTCATTTCCAACTTCGTACACTGACCAAATAGCATAGTTTTGAGTTGGAAATAAATCAGTGTTACAATAAAAATGTGACCTTGTCGGGATTTTCGGATGCATGAATAAAATCTGAATATTTCCGACTGAGTTTTCACCTGACTTGACTCCCTCCAGAATATCGTGAAGAATAACGAAAATGCTTTTTATGGAATCTCATTGCGTGTTCATCGCGAGCTCTTTTGTTTTCAGTTCGCATTTCTGCAGACTTCGCACATTGCGCACTGCTGAGTTTATTAACACGCCCGTGAAAGAAAAGTGTTTCACTTGCGAATTCTTGAAATCACAATAAACGCAGCGCTATTAATATTTTTATGCGTCCGCCGCCGCCCCGCGGAGTGCGTCAGCAAAAGTCGAAAACGAAAACAATAAAATATTAAAAGGAAACGAGGCAGCAAGATTTGCGATTCGCGATTCCGGACGCGAATTGCAACGTGTGGCGTTGTAGAACAACGATTATTTGCGGACGAGCACGCGGGCGGCGGCCGTTTTAGTTGTTTTCCGCGCGCGGCATTTATATGTAGTTCATTACGAGACGGCGAGTCCCGGAAACGAATGGACCTGCCCGAGCATTTCTTGAGCGCTCCTTTTGTTTTCGGCGCACGGCTCGCGTCCTTTGGCGTTTTCCAATTTCGGCCGGATCGTCGCTCGGCTTGTGAATTTTCCCGGCTGTAATTAAAGCCAATACATCAACATCATGCCCCGCTACTGGTTTACTCGTATTACGCGCCCACTTTGGGATATTTAGTCTTGCGAATTGCACCGACACAGAGCGAGCGATGGGGACTCATGGCTTGTCGGCGTCGGTGCACGAAGAGGCGGCAAAGGCATGCCGGCATCGGACCGCGTAAAAGTTCGCGAAAGTGCTTGCGCCAGCGTTCATTGTTCGCAAAAATTGAAGGCGGCGGGGGCGGCGCGCTCGCGTTCCGCGCCGACACCGAAAAAGAATTATTTCTAGTTTGGAACTTTCGCCATTCTCGAGCGGCACTTGTATTATTCACGGCTTCGTAATTGTGGAAAAACGTAAAGTCTTCAAGTTGTAAAACAGCAAGACAAAGAATGAATGAAGGAGTTAATGATTGCAAGAATCGCCCTTTGAAACAAAAAAAAAACAAGAGCGGGCGTGAGCAATGCGAGAGAAAAAAGCCTCTCCAACGTTCAGTGAAATTAAAACCGAATTCAGTTGGAAAAAGTGATGAAACTGGATGAAATGGCTGATAGCCACGGATTTCGATCTGAACGCAATCGAAATTCTGCATCGGAATTTTTCACTTATTTAACTTGTATAATTGCGTTAATTCTCGTATTTTTTTGTATTCCAGATCGATTCGCCGCCTCCGCCCAAAGCTTCTTCGTGATGGTCGGCGGGCGACACATTTGAATCCTGCCGCTACGTAATCCGGCTGTAAAGTGTGTCTTGATTATAGCCGGCTTTTTCGCGCCGCCACCGACGACGACGACCTCCCACCGGGACGTCCAGTCACGGACCGTGCGATTAATCAATTCGATTTTTTAATTAATAATTTCCCATACATATTTTCCCTCGGCGGCGTTCGCTCAGTCCGTCATCCGGTGCTTTGCGTCGTAAATGTCCGGCCGCGTATGAAATAATAGTGACGAGGCTGCGCCGCCTCGCCGCCGCTCTGCGTGCGCTTTGAACAAACGAGAGTGCGTTTTTTTGCCCGCTGCTCCTGCCGTCGATATCAAAACGTCGCGACGGGGACGGCGTTAATTACCAGCGGGGACGAAAGCAAGCAGCTTTTTCCGTCAACACACATACTCACACATACACGCACACGACCACCCCGCTATAGGTGTGTGGTACGTTGGCACATATATCAACCGACATCTATTCTAATTAATCATCCAATCGGTTGTCAATAATTAAAAACCAATCGATCTACGGAATACCGGAGTTCCGGACTCGAGTTGTACGTCTCTTCGGTTTAATTTTTTTTCCCACGCGTGTTGCGCACGTGTGTTACAAATTTTCATTTAAACCCAACTTATGAGAACTTCAAACCAGCAGAAAAAAAGAACACAAACGTGAGTGGCGCATAACGCATACGTACTTTAATTCCGAGCGGTAAATAACAATTTGAAACTTTTTGCAAACTTTTCACATACGAACAGTTTAAAAGTGATTTGTTTAAATTAATTACACGCGACTTAAATGGACCTAAAAACGCGCTAGATTTGGACAAACAGATAAATCAACCGATTAAAAGAAGAACAACACCAATCGACACGTTACAGTGAAGGCAACGATGGCGAACTTCATTCCCATCTTCATTTTAATTATTGGTGAGTCTACTTTTTTACTTACTTTTTATTGCTATTAAGAGCGCCGCAATTCATTTAATTATGTGTTAATGAGGTCGGGTTTATTAAGTTTGGAATACCATCGACAACCGACTTGTTTGTATGCTGCTACGCTTGCCTTGAACGGAAAAAAAACTTGTTTTACTGCGCAGTCTGGCCTCGAGGGCGTAATTGCAACTTATACGATTGCCAAACAAAATTACTTTTCATAATTACATTCATCATTTTTTGCACCTGGTCTTTTAATTAATAGAATTGTCTGCGAAGGGATTTTTTGTGTTTGGGCGCTTATGACTCGAAACATGCTGTGGGTTTAAATTTCAGTAATTGAAATGTTTAGAAACGTAGTGGAAAAATGCGTACGTTTCGGTTTTTATTCACATTCTGGAGGGTGGATCACGCATCAATTTGCAAAAATGCGCGTGCGGTACTCCACAGTGTGCTAGTTTATATACGTTTTTAGATGTTTTTAATAAAACATGCTTTTATCCCTTGTAAAAATACGCAATTCACATGAAGATTAAGTCCGGTAAATACCGACGGCGAGGTATTTTATTAGAAAAAATTCGCGTGTGCGGTTCGAGACGCGGCCGGGACCGGGGCCGAGGGCGCGTTTCTTTTTATTTTTATTATTGCGTCGTCTTCATTCTTTTTTACGATGCGCGGCGGCGGCGTTATACGCATGTGGCAAAGTTTATTGAATGTTTGAAGAGATATATCCCCCCGTCGTCGGGGCGAGTGCAAGGGGCGCGTTTCCGCGCGCGCCGGGTGTGGTTATGATATGTTGATACAAGTTAAAAGAGAGACGAAAGGACTAGGTGTCTGGCCGAGCCTGACCGACCGGGATTAAGTTTCCCGTGAGCGCTGCCAGCGGAAGGAAGTTAAATATTGCGCGGCGGACCTATGAAACTCTAAAAGTGGACGGCTTTTAGAGGCGAGCGCAGGAGGAAATGAAAATAAAGAAAATATTTCATTTCACCGCTGGAGAAGTAAGCGGCGGTGGCGGCTCAACAACCTTGCCGGGGTGATTTTATTCGCGAATTATGCAAACATACGCACTCGAATGTCGCTCGATCTGTCGAGGCGATACTAGCGCGCTCGGATTTTCCTCACGCCGCCACCCTTATTATCGATAAGTAATGTCGTGTTTTATGCCACGACGTGTTTAAAAATTTAGCGCGTTTATTAAATGGCTGTTAGCTGCAACGAGCGTAGTCTCGCAAATTGACACCTTACAGCGCCTTATGCGATTTAATGACGCATAAATGGTCGTAGGTGTCGGGCGAAATCTGACGATGTCTAATTAAAGCTAGAGTTGGCGCTTTTCTTGATACATCGCGTTGCACGTCACATAACGGTCGGTTTTTGCACCTTTTGTTCGTCTTTACTTTGTAAAAAATAACATATTCTGGTTTATATTAAAATTTAAAAAATATAAAATCTGTTTATTTCATATATCACATCGGTAGCTGTATTGAAAATGCTAGAAACCACAGCAATAAGAAGTTCTCTCATCGGAAACACGACAACAGCGCAGCAGCACACGCGACCTGCCCTCAAAAGCTCTTTTCATCTTCGACGGTTGGTTGTAAACAAAATTGCTAATCAAAAGTGCGAACGTACGCCGGCAATTTCACGACCTGCAGTCGACGGTGGCGGCGTTGATGCCAGCATACATAAACTCACATTTTTCTACCCATTAAGAAGACAATATTCGATTCCGTTTCATCGTCGCCGCCGCCGGCTGATTTTTTATTCGCTCGTTTGCAGTGTACACGCTTTGGGGCTCACGCCGCCGCCGGCTCCGGCCTCGGCGAAAACTACAAAGTAGATGAAACTGTATAGTACAAAGTGTACGGCCCTTTTACTCATTTATTTGTTTTTCTTCGTCGGTTTTTTATCGCGGAACACCGGATGTGACAAATTATTGAAACGCCGCATCGCATTTGCATGATGTGCATTTGCTTTGAGCGAGGAAGAGGTTCACGTAAAGCAATGCGATTTTTGTGCAGCGGTGAGTAAGTACATACTTCGCTGACGGTTGTTATGATGACCTTTGCTTCTCGTATATTCATTTTGGGAACGGCAGTCATTGTTCGCGGCGTACAAAGTGCGACTAGTTTACATTGTCTCTGTGCGTGCTGTGTATTTTCGAGTTTTCTTTCTTTTGCTGCGCCGACAATATGTGTGGCATATCTGGACCGTTCGGCAGGCGGGGGCGGCTTTAAGAGCATCTTTCTTTGTGGCGCAGCGGCGCGACATAAGAAGGCCCTTTTGTTTCGTTCGCGACATCCATCGCATCCGCGGCGTGTATGCGTCGACTTACGCGCCACGTATAAATATGTATGGGCCACTCCAGACGCACACACAAAGGCGCTCGCTCCCGCATCTTCACCCCCTTCGCGTTGCCCTCGCTGATTGTGTTACCAGCGTTCCGCGGTCTTTTGTAGTTTTTCGACTTTGTTGCGACGCGCGTAAGATCATCGAGTAGGATATTTTTTATCCGTGCCGCCACGCATGGCGCAAAAGAACAAAGTCAACGTCGAGTGGGCGCCGAGCGCGTTGTTGTGCACACGCCTTGTTGCTGCTGCGCCACTCGCTTTGGCGGCAAACGTTTGCAAGCGCGGCAATGCGCTGCAGCTAGATGACGAAGCCTCCGCTGCAGAATGTTGACATCGCGGATGAGGTGCGAAGGGGCGGCAGTGGCGGCAATGTCGGAGTGCAACGGAGCGTGGCGCCTGCATTCACGAGGCGTTGTGAACGGCACCTGGCCGTCTTCGACGAGCGAGTGGCTGCGACTGACTATGACGGCCGGCCGCAAACTGCACCCGCTGCCGCCACCTCCGCCCCCTTCATGTGCGACGCGCATTCAGAGCACGCGTCGGCGAGTGTTTTTGGAGTGTCGTGATTAAAGCGAGATTAAAGGAAAGTGCCTAATTAGAAGCACACTTTTTACGGTGCTACTTACACGCGCCCGGCACGTTTGACAAGGCGGCGTCAAAGCAGCCCCTGAAAAAAATCGAAATCAAAAAGAAGCGAGAAGAATGAAGGGGCGCACAATTAGAAAAACGCGCCGCCTAACGCGCGAGGCGTGAGGCGCTTTGATGCCGCGATATGATACAGAGAAATCTTTTCAAAAAAGTGCCAAAGATTTTTTTAATTAACTTTCGGATTTTATGATTCCAAATGTCGACGCGACTGATGGTGCCAACAGTGCTTTGACTAATTAATTTCAATTCACTAATTAGACGATTTTACACACGCCGTGAGAGTGTTCTTCTTTGCCTCGCAATTTCACCGTTTGAGTGCAAGCCACTCGCGCTAAGCAAATTCTGTACGTCCCCCTCCACTCCGCCCTTGTTTTATTGTTCGTAACACAAAAAATAACGCAGCATTTAAACATTGTAAACATTGGCGCTCACAGGAAATTTCCGGCGAGGTCGACAACCTTAATTAATATTTTTAATGATACATCTTCATCAAACGCAACAAGATTAGCCAATTCGGTCGCGTGATCGCATTGCGAATTAAAACCTGTGATTGAATGCGTCGACGGCGGCTCCATAAATTCGGACACCGCTTTAATTAACCCGTTATTATTCCGACTGGCGCTTTAATTCACTCCAGCGCGGCAGGGGGTAGCAGCGATAAATTAATCCGCTCCTGCGTCAAGTATCCGTATATTATCCTTTATTTATTTTTGAGTTCGAGTCCTTGGGGCCGTTGCCGCCGACGCCGTAACACTCGTTCCCGGCGTGTTCGTGAGCAGCCGTTCCCGCCGTTGCCGTCGCCGCGATATTTTCCGCTCACACATTCTTCTGGATTTCCGCATGCCGGCGTCTTCGTCTCGGCGGCGGCGGTGGTCTCCCTTCGCATGTGTAAATTGCACAATGGCAATGCTCGTAAAATATATACACATTCAGGCTTCGGTACGCACAGCACCGCGGGCCGCAGCGCGGCTGAGGCGGCGGCTGGGGGCCGCCGAGCATAATAGACCTTTACGATCTCATTGTTCGGGCGCGCGTTTCGTGACCTTCTCCTCGACTATTTATTCGGAGCGTATCCATAAAACGAGGACCGCGAGCCGAGGACTTGGGGGCGGCATGCCGCGTGCTTGCTCGCTGCGAAATGTATGCGCTCGGCGAACCGAAACGTATCGGAGCATATCTTCAAAGGATAATTGATAATCAATTAGGGCGAGATGTGTGCGATGTGTGCGCGCCGCGCCCGGGAATTGTTTGTGCTCCCACGCTGGTATGCTACCCCTTTATATCCATTTAAATAGCGTTCGCACAACACGCGTAAACTCATCGAATTAATAGACGTTTTCGTGCTCGACGTTAAAATTTAATTGATCAATTTTGATTTTACACGCCGTACGCCTTCTACGCAGGGGGCGGCACGACCACATCACGTCGCACAAACATTTGTCTAGGCGCACCAGCGCCATTTCCGCTTTGATATTTCCGTCTGCAGTCACCTCCATTATCAGCGAGTACTTCAATCGGCAACAAAAAGTCACGGAATGCTCGCTCGCAATCCGTCACAGATCTAATTGAATTTAAAAGAGTTCTAATTTAATTTCTTGCGTCCCCGGTCTTCTGTTATTTACGCGGAGCAAATTTGAGAGCGACGAAAAGTAATCGCAAGGAAGCAAAAATGTTTGCGCTAAAAAACGAAACGAAAATTACGCAAAAATTGCAAGGAGCCGACGTTAATAAGTATTTGCATTATTAAAAGCGGCGGTGACCCTACGCGGCGGCGGTGTCGGCGCGCGGAAACTTTCGCCACCACGGACAGCGTTTAGTCCTGCACTGAGGCGGCGGTTTGCCGCCGGGATGCGGCGCGCAAAGCCGAACAATAAAAGTTTCGCTGGTCCCGCGAGCGATCCGTAAAGTAATTATACACGAAATTGTTATTCGAAAACGATATTACTTCGCAAAGCGGGTGGCACGGGTGCGCCGCCGGCAAAGATCAAATGCTCCCCCTAATGAGTTTTTTAATATCGCTCGGTGGACTTAAATAACCACAATCTTCCAAACAGAAACGACAATTACACAATTGAGCAAAAATCTGCGCTGAAGCGTGTCTAGTCTATGCTCAAAGGATTAAACAATTTTAAACGTGCACGTAAATGGTGACGTTGATGAATTAGATAAAGGATATCATACCTGTTGTCGCATTCATTATAATATATTTATGGTGATTATAATGGAGAGAAATGTCGCGTGTGAAATTATTCAGCCAGAGTTGGTTAAATTTTTGATTTCTGATTTGTTGAATAGCGCACCTCCGACGGCGAGGTCGGAAATATTAATAAAGCGTATTTCGATAATTTCTCCCTCTCGTCCTCGGCGAGCGCGGATGCGGCAAAAAATTCACTAAATTCCTGCGCCTGATGTCGTCGACTTGAATAGCTATAGAAAATGAATTTCAAAGCACTCAAAGATAGCAGCCCCTCAACCGCATGTGCCGGTTGGCGGCTGGTGGCGGTGCCTGTGCGCCTTCTTCCATTCTCCGGCGGCCCCCGAGCGCCGGGCCCGAGCATCGGCGGCTTGTTGTGGAATGATAAATGGCATCAGACGAGTCTACTAATACAATTCGAAGCCGGCATTAAACCGCGCTTACGGTTTCAGATGAATATTTAAGCCCAATCAATAATCTTAAGAACCTCACGACTTTTTCATTTTGCGCCCGTCCCTTGCCGCAGCCGTCGACGTCGCCGCTCCCGCGCGTATTCTTATCCGTTATCCTCTGCGCCGCGGCGCGTTCTTCATCGCCTTTTTCCGCGCTCATTTTTTATTGGACTTATTCAACATAGTGCCGGTATAAATTTCGCGTCTAACGCTCGTACATGATAAGTTGGAAAGTTGAAGTTTCTTCCTGCCGGAAGCGTCTCCCTCGCGCTGACGGTTCCGGCCCGCGCTGCTGCCTATTGCAAATCAATGCAGGCGTAATTGCGATTTCAATTTCAAGTTTTGCCCGCCGCGATTTTAATTATCGAGCGTGTTGCGCGGCAACAAAGAAACGGTGCTTGTGCGCCCGTCGCCATTGTAATCGCAGCCGTCGCACGAATGTCGAGCAAATGTTCATTACAAAATAGCGAATAATTAACGAAACGCGATTGATAAAGGTGCCACGTTCGCCCGCATTGTTTGGTTAAGTCGGGTGGGGTGTAACCTTTCGTCTTTCGCGTTACGTCTTCCGCGTGCCGCCGCCGCCGCCAGCCGGGCCATGCTTTTCAACGTCTTCGCCAGCACCGCCGCCAGCCGCTTTGGCTTCAATTCCGACGGTGTTTGCGCGCGATCCGCCTGCCGCTATTATTGTTGCCGCCGCCTCCGCTAGAATAAACAGGAATGCCGCCGCCACTGCCATCGAGCACCGCGTGTACCATCGCGCTTGAAATCTAGAGCGAGCTTGGCCGCGCGCACACCGGTAAACCCACGCGATAGCTCACAATGTGTGTGCTCGCGTGGATGTGAAGTGTGCTCGCTCGACTACGAACAGGACGAGCAGGACGAACACTCCGAGGCACTTCTCGCACACAAGCACGCGGCCAGCATGCCCAAGTGTACTGCAGGCGGGTCGATAACGCGCTACACGCGCACGCCATGCAGGTACGTGTGACCGCGCGCTCGCCGCCACCCGCCCCCGACTGTGTGTATTTCTCTGTCGATGGGTGTGAGTGTATGCGAGTGTCGGCTTGGCGCGATGTTCATTAAAACGGCTGCTATCTGCACCGGAAACGTTCCACAGGCACCGAATTATCCGCTCGCAACGCCAACAAACATCAATCCGTCCCGATGCGTCCCGTGCCGCCGCCGCAGCCGGAGATGTGCTACAAAAAATCCTATCTAGCAATGTTCTCTAATTAAGCTTTAATCTTCATTACTAAGCATATTCGTGCTTCAATAATGCGATACTGTAATGGTGCAAAAAAGCAACCGGGGTGGAGGACATCATAATCTCGCGTGCTTAAAACTTTAACGCTTCGAAAACTTCGACACGAGCCCGGAGTCTCCGAACATCCTGCAATCTCGCATCTCGCATCTTGCGAGCAAAGGTCTCATTAAATTAAACGAAGCTAAGATGGACAAACGATTCTTAGTATCTTAGGTTGGTGTGTTTTTCTTTCTCTTTTTCACTCGTTCCAGCTTTTTACGACCATAGTTGATCCGGATATATGTTTATTTATCAGTAGGGATAAATTGCAGTCGAAGTCGACTTACAGCTGTACTAATCGCTGATCAACACACAACATCCAACACATTTCTCGAAAAAAACAACATTATTGGTGAATAAATATTTTTTGTACCACCATCATTCCGCTATTATCTTTTTTTTTTCGCACCCAGCAATAAATGGCCACGTGAAACTCTAGCGACATCGGTGCTGTAGCTGCAAGACACGCGTATAAAAAACAATAATAACGTTTTTCATTTTCAACACGCCGCGTCTACTGCAGCGCGCTAGAAAAAGGATACGGATAAGCAAGCAGAAAAAAGGCATTTCCCAAGCGTCGACGCTAAATTCTACTGTATGAAGGGATGATTCCGTTAGATAAGCGCAAAAGGCCTCGGATAACGAAGGTATTTAAGTGTATTTTAAAAGTACGAATGGCGGCGCGTCTGCCGGGGCCGCGACAACACAGAAGAAACGACGGGAAGTGGTCGTAAGGGCCGAGTCTTGACTGAGTCAACGACTGGACAAGTAGAAAGAAGACGAACACGGTGAAAGCGCTCGCATCTTTTTATTACGCCAACAACTTTTTTTGTCTCCAGCCTGCATTATGCATTCACGCGCGTGCACGCCATTGAAAATTTTGCTCATTTATCGCGCTTCTTCAGGTTCCTAATGGCAATGTTTAATGATCAAAAAAATGTTGCACCCTTTACTCATTAAATACTAACGACACTAACGAGATCAGCTAGAGCAGGCTGACGTTCTCACTTGCTGAACTTCTTGACGGCCTCGTCCACAATGGCCTTGGCGCTTTGTTGGAGTGTCTCAGCGGATATGAGGGTCTGGTTCTGGGTGGTGTCGATCAGCTTCCATATTTTGTCGCTGGACTCCTCGTAGAGGCTCTTCATGTTCTTGTTACAGGTCGTGATTGCTGTTCGGCCGTCCTTTTGAATGGCCTTGAATTCTTCCTTTGCTTCCACGTAAGGCTTGCCGATCAGATTGGTCATCGACACCAGCACGCGCCGTACCTCCTTGATGCAATCCTCTTCTGACTTCGCCATCGCCCTTTGAGCTACCGTTTGATCTGTTGGACGTTCTTTTGGCCGAAGGTCGACTTGAATTTTGATGAGTTGGGATCCGAATCGGAATCGAAAACGATATGGCAGCGCGACCCTGTTCGTTTGACGTTAGCGAAAAAATATTTTCATTACGCGCCGCCGACGTGATTTCGGAACGAAAAAAAACACACACACACAGGAATACTCGCATCGAGCGCAAGGCAGCCGGCGAGAAACAGGATCCTCTCGCGCGAGTGCGCTCGCATTTTAATTTTTTCGGGCCGAGCGTACGTGAGCCCGCCACCCACAACCCTACACGTATATGTATTTTTTTCTTCGCGCGCCCGCTGGGGGTGCGTGTTTATGGCTTTCGGTGGTGTTTTTCGTAGAGCGCGCAATGCGTTCGCGAAAGGAGCGGGCGAATGAAAGGGCGAACGAAGCGTCCGCTCCAACGTGCCGGCGGTGTAAATAAAGCGTTTTGTGTACTCGAAGTTAATTTATTGGTCGAATGCTGCGCGTGATTTTCATCCGCAATATATTACCATTGAGAGCCGAGCCGAGCCGGGGCGCTGCCGCCGAGGCAAAGTTCTTTTTGAACGCGAAAGGTCTCGACCTAAATTTTACGCTCGGAGTTTCTCACTTTGCCGAGCGGCGGTTTTTTTTTTTATTCGACTCTTCCGAGTGTGGGGCCGGTGGAGTCCGTCAATCGGAGAATCGGGATTCATCGAGATTTATCAATCAGTTGTATTGAGTCAACTTAATTACGATTTACAACGGGCGACACGGCACAATGGCGCGCCGAGTCTCTTTTCACGACGTTAAATAAATGATGCGGATCAGAATGGGGCACGGAGCCGGCCGGGCGCGCCGATAGGGTCAATTGGCCGAAAGGTTCGCTACGGCTTTTACCGAAATAATTACGATTTCAATCAAAAATGTATACAATCCCGGCAACGAAATCCAACGCAACTATTCAATTTCCTGCATTCGAGGACCGGCTTTTTGATGTACCTACCTGCGGTCGTCACAGAGTACCACCGCTTTCAACTGGAACTCACTAAAGCAGCCGCGGATTGTTTGGAGGAAATCGAGAATCGACGCACACTGACGCGTGATTTGTGTTAAACATTCCATGTGTGAAATGTAAATATTTTGACGTGAAACACGCATCGAATAACGAAAAAAAAAACGCAGCGTTGCAAATTTAATATTTCCGCTAGCGAATATGTGTATTCATGCGCTACAGCAGAAATTATAAACTAAAACACATGCATATCGAAACGCAATCATCAAAAAATCTCACAGGATTTACCTGGGATGTTGATGAAATGCGCGCTCAGATTAATTTCATATTTGCATTCGGTATTCGGGAGTAAGCAAACACTCGTTGCGTAGGCGCAAATTGTTTTATTGTTAAAATCGCGCAACAATTTTGTATTTCGCGGCGCGCAGTTACTCGAAAATTGAAAATCGAGAAATCATAAACACGAAAATCGCGCGCCGAGTTTTCGATAGTCGCGTGCATATCCTACGTGAGATACGTGCCGGATAGGTGTAATTCTAATTTCATGAATGTGTAAAGCGCACGTGAAGCCGGCGTCGGCGCTGCGCTCGCAACCATTAGCGGAGAGTGTGGGAGACATAAAAAACGAAATAAAAAAAGAAGCGAAGAAAGAAATAAAAAGCTCGGGCGCTCCCGATGGGAATGATAGAAACACGATGGGGAACGAATTCGTGTTCGTCGGCTTTAAAATTTCAGCATCAAGCGTCGCGGCGCGTCAAGAGACGCGCACCGGCGAGAGGACAAAAATTGTAAAAGGTTTAAAACACACACGGCGAAGGAGCACGAGGCAGCGGACGCGCACGAGAATGAAGGGACGGCCGTCGGCGGCTCAGTCGTTGACGACAACGGCAACGGCCGCGTCGCGCCGCGCTCTCTTCTCGACAATATCGTATAAACGACTAGGAGAAATTTATTCGTAAACAATGTTAGCGGTTCTGAATGTCTGAAATATGCGTAGACATCCGGTGGGGATTTATCTCTCCCTCGACGCGCTCTATTTTCTTAACGTCTCCATTCCGATTCTCGGTTTCCACTCGCGCTCCCTCGGCAGCCGCCCCTCCAGCCGCCGCTGCCGCCGCCGGTCGTTCGTGCCGCAGCGCGCGAAAGGACTCTCGCACCTCCATAAAGAATACGGAAAATATGATTGTGCAACCGTGCCCGACCGCATCGCTGCGCAGCGCGGCCCGGAAGTTGGCGAAAAAGAGGAAAAACACGAAAACTACATAAGGAACTTAACTAAATGTAAACAACAGCGGCTTTATTAAATTTGCATAAAATAATATGCAATGAACGAGCGAACAAGCGGATGAACGAAGCTACGTGCCGCGCGCTGCCCTCCCGCCACCCCCACAACGCCTTTATCTCTATCGCGCGTTTACGTATTGTCGCCTTCGAACAATCGCGACCGATTTTCACTGCACAACACCAGTGCATAACCATATCTACTCATAAATATTGTTTACACACTCTGCGAATTGAATAGGTTTGAATGTGCAATGCTGTTAAATCGGTCAATCATAGAGGATATTGAGAGTATTAAATTATCATACCTATAATATTCCGTTAATCCATTTTGCGTGTTTGAAGTTAATGGCGAAGATGTAAAGCGGAAATATGATTGCTGCGAAAAGTTTACGGGCCTTTGTTCACGACGCTTCCATTGCGCCTTATTTGCAATTAGGAGTGCGGCGTTCGGGATGCGAGTGAAAATAAATACGAAGTAACCAAAAGTGCTATCCACGCGCACGTGCGCATTAAAGCGTCTCGTCTTGGGCGCGCGCCCTCGACTGCATCCAGATTAATAAAGGCTTTAATTAATGAACCGGATCTCGTATTTCACCTCCGCGCTGCGCACCTCGTTGGGCGTCAGGGGTACGTTTCAGTTATTTGTCCGAAATATATTCGTGCCGGGACCACTTTAATCTTACAACTCTTACGGCTTACGGAGGCAGCGAGGATTGTAGCGCGTCCGAATTGCTCGCGCGCACGTTAATATTTATCAGGCGCGCGGTGGCGGCGGTCGTGTCGTTTATTTTGTAACGAACCACTCAAACATTCGGCTTTATTCGATGATCCCTTCTGCCCTTCTGGCGGGCGGCACACACGCGCACATTTCCATAGCTTCCATAGCCCATCGCGTTTGGTTATCTCGCCGCCCCCGACGAGTTCCGGTGTCGACCCTGCGCCTCCGGATGGCGGATTGCGACGCGTCAAACGTCGTCGACGTCGTCGTCGACATCAGAGCGCCAGCGGCGCCGGGGGTGCGGGGGGTGCGTCCTTGTCTCATCAACGAGCGCCGTCACCCACGCTGCCGCCCCTGTATTAACATCGGTACCCGTGTTGTATATGCTAAGTGCGCGGATCCTCTCGTGCTCTCGCTCGACTCGGATTCGACTTGAATCGGCACCCTCGCGCTGGTGGCGGCAGCGGCGGCGGCTAAAGTGGTTAAATCCGAATGAAGTGTACGGATTCGAAGCGCGGCATTGTTTGATTGTTGAATTGTTGAGTGTCGACATTATGCCTGAGGTCTGCATGCATTGTTCCGTCATTACCTATTAAATTGCGAACTTTTGATGATGCCATGCTCGTCGCGTATCCAATTGCGCTACGCCACGCGATTGATGCACGCGCCACCACCCACCGCCTCCGGTCCCCGCTGGGCGTCGAATCGATAGGCATGCATTACGAATGGTCACGTAATTAGGAATCAGTGAATTTAATTTGCAATATCGTTCGGTCGTTGGCGATTAACCGCTGGCCAAAGGTATACAAACACATGCGCAAATTGCATTAGTGGAAAATTAGTTCAGTGTTGCGATTTCTCCACGCCGCAGTTGTAAGCACCGGCACACGCTCACAACGCCCACGTCGCACCAACAAAAGATCGCGCCGGGCGTTTTGTTGCGCAAATTCCTCGGCATCTGCCAGTATCAGCATTTCTCATTTTCCCTTGACAATTTCTCTAACTAAGACGGCTCCATTCGCGCGAAACGAAAACACTTTGGAAATAAATTCAAACGTTTCGGTTTTCATGCCACACGCTCGCTTCCTGCGCGTCGCCATACATTTCGACCGACAGCTGTACGAAAGAGCCTCGAGTCTCCCAGCGGCGGCAACAATCGCACGCCATTTGTAGCGCTTATTGTTCTCTCCGTTGGTCAATACAGCATACTCTCGATAACTTCCAGGAATCAATGAAATATTCAGGACTTCCGCGCGAAAACCATACCGTTTTACATTCGTCGAATTTCCCAGCGCGGATTATGCGATTATGATTTTTGCTAAACGACCATGATTTTACATGCGTTCGAGTGCATTTCGATGATTAGAAATAGAATGCCCGCGAGTAGTTGTTGGCTGCGCTGCGTTATTTGTTGTGACAGGGCGAAATGTTCAAACATTTGGTCAATATTTTAAACATGTTGGTGCGCTGTCCGAGCGTCGGGCTTTGTGAGCATTGTTAACGCAGAACGTCGAGAGTAATCAACTAGCAAATATCATTTGTTGATGCAATGTACGCTGGCGACATTCGAGCCGTAATGCGGAAAACAAATCGAATCGGTTGCCAATTTTGTGCGTCGCAAACACCGAAACAATAACTAAACAAGCTGCACGCGCTAGGATTTCTTTTGTGTTCTGTTCAATTTACATCTCTTGTAGAAATCCAGCGCCAGTCTGGAAACAAACATTAATTAATTGAAAACAAGCTTCTACTTGTATATAAAAATGTGCCGTGTGACGTAAAAATGAAGCAGGAAACATTCTCAAATTCTCATCGTCAATAAAATATAGTTGTTATATGTTTCACACTCTTTTGCGCTGCCAGCAAGCCAATATTTCACATTCAAAAATTTGTCAACTGGCGCAGCGCTTGGTAACAGCATTCGCAGTCTCGGAAAGAAATGGTGAAAAATACGAATCGTTATCGTTACAACCTACCGCCCTTTGCGCATACGGTTCGTCATACGAATACGCGCGCATAAGGTAAGCCGAGTAACTCGATAATGGCAGCGGCAAACAGCAAGGACTGCGATTTGTAGCGAGTACGCCGGAGTGTTTTATTTCAGCGTTCCGCGCGATTTCACGTCCTCGTGCGCGCAATTATCAATGTTGAAAAATGCTCGTGGATTCGTCGCGCTGCGCTCTCGTACAAAGGCGCGCGGTTGTGATAATGTCGTATTAATAATGTAAGCCGGATCGTGTCACTTATAGCTTTATAAGCGGGTCGATTTGGCGCGGTATTTTATAAATGCGTAGCATTTGCGACGAGGTCGCTTCCCACCGCACAACGGAATTGGAGTGGTGGCATAGAATTTCTTATTATTTCAAGGGAACAAGCGCAAAAAACCGATTCTTTTCAATAGTTACCAGGGAAATTTCTATGAAAATTAGAGTTTGTTTAAGACAAAACAAATATCACATCAAAAACTAATGAAAATTTCTGTTCAAACACGAAAATCTGCATAATTTTTGAATTATCTTCAAGTAATGCTATTTTAATGCCATCATCGCAATCGTATTTTGTGTACGTAATTCACTTGTCTCCTTATCGCCGCCGGCAAAGCCAGTTTGACGACGAAGTGCGTAATGCGCCCCTCATATAAACTGCTTCCAGCTACGAATTAATAAATACTCATTGACGAATTGCAAATTGGTATTACACGATCAATTAAACGCGAAATTTCGCCACTTGCAGTTTAAAGACGTTAGTGCTTCAAGCAGCTGCAATTTTGCGATTTCTCAGAGAATGCTCCTCCTCTGCGCACAAAAAGTGACCACCGCGTTATGCCGCAGAATGCCGCCGCTGACGCCACCATCTCCACGCCGGAACCGAGCGAACTGTATAAGTTTCCAAGCGTGTCGTCTAATTTGAGCGTTTTGTCCGTGCGTCCTCTGCTTTTCACTCTGTCGCCGTCGTGCTCTTCGCCTCTTAGTTGCTTGTCTCCGCTAGGGCCGCCGCCATGGCTTCTTTATTATTATTATATTTTTTTATATTACACAAGGCAACAACTCCGCGCGGTGTCCTCCGTCTTGGCGCAGTAACATTTTACTCCCGGCCTTGTCCTTTCCGTCCGTCTCTTTGTGCAACTTTCTGTCTCGGTGTCGGCACGCGCTTTTTTTCTCGGCTCGCCGCTTTTGTTACTCACCACGAAAATTCCATCAAATGCATTCTAACGAGAAGGATGTTATTAATTTTCTTTTGTTTAACTTGCTTTAATCTTCTTTCGGCGATCAAGGCAGCAAACAAAAAACGACGACGCGCAGGAACACGAATAAAACGCCTGCATTGTAATGAACAATATCGCTTTGTGTCGAAAGGAAATTGCAAATAATACGGCGGCGATGATAATAATAATAGCGGACAAACATTAATATTAACATTAACATTTAAATTAGAATCAAATTAGCATTTTTCTTTGAGATGGAGGGCGCGCCGTGAAGTTTTCGCACTTTGTTCGACTTTTTTTCGTCGCTTGTGCGTAATACAGGGATTTCCTTGTATTGAAGGCTTTGTCTTTTAAATTACATTTCATCATCTCTCAGCTTCGTCGTTTTTTATATTACGTGATTATTTTCAGGCGGATTCTCGGGTTTTGTTTGTTTTATGCTGTTTTCATGCTAATCTAATTCGGAGTGAAAAATCTTTATGAACAGTCTGGCCGATTTTTACTTCGTTTGTTCCACTCATCCGTGAGAGAAGGAACATTTCCAGAAGATGTAGAAATCTAGCTGTTTTTGATTAAACTTTAACTCGTACTCGGATAACTTTATTCCCGCAAATTTTTAATGCCGAGAAGTTGCTGTAATGCGCATTAGTTCGGAGTACTTAGTAAGATTCTTCGGATTTGGCGAGCGGAAAGAAAGCAAGAAACAAGAAATAGGCACTGCCGCCACCGCCACTGCCACCGCCGCCGTTGGTATTGAAATCGAAAATATTGTACGTAATGAAATTGGGGCAAATGTATTCGGGATCGAAAGTTCAGCGCGTCGCCCGCGTTCGAATGCAAAGTTTATTAATTCCGAAGTCTCGAACGGCAGGGAATTCTAATTATATTCATGATGTTCGGTCGTGATTTTCTTGACGTCGCGACGAAGTGTTTCTTCGGTTCCGATATTTGAAATTTCAATCGCTCGCCCCCCTTTGCGTCCTCGACGCAGCCGGCGGGGAACAAGTTTTAATAAGTTAAGAATTACGATGTTAGATCCGGAATTATGACTAAGTAAGTCGACACTCGAACGTAGTTCGCTCTAAACTTTGATTATATTACATAAGTTTGCATGCATTCGGCAGAATCGTTTTATAGCACGGCGTCCGCTTATTTTCACGTTGTGGATATTAATTTCGCGAGCGCGATTGTTTCGTCGGGATGAAGAAATCGCCGCTGCGCGGAAAGAAGAAGCGACTGCAAGTTTTAATCCCGCCATCTCGCGCTTTGTTTTGCGGGTGTGGTGGCTGGAGAGGCCCCCGGTGTGCCGCCATTATATGCATTAAACGTTTACACTTATTCTTCGGCCATTTATTCTTAACTTTATGCCTTTTCATTACAACATTGTTGCAATTTACGAGTAGTTGATGCGAGGCCAACTTTCATGCGGCTCAACTTTCAGCATTATATATTTTGTGCGCCGAGGGCCGACAGGACGATGCGGCATTACTGAAACCTAGCTGCTACCCGACCGGGCGGCGGCGGCGGCGGGCGAAACAATAGTTTAGCGAATATTTATCGTTCATTGTGAACCGAAAGTACACAATACGCGAACTGACCTTACGATCCGCCTGTGTGCACGCGCGCGCTCCCCGGCAGTTTGTAGACAAACAATATATATGTTCGACAATTATGGCCAACTTACAGTAACAACATCAACAAGCGCCGTCCCAGCCACCGCCGGCGCCGTGGCTTATTACGACAAGGACACGAGTCGCGAGCGTCCTCCCGAGGAACCAAACTATTCCCCAACAATACGCGCGCCGCATGCTCACACAGCTCGACAACTTCCAACTTGCCGCCTCCGTCGCCGTAGGTTAATAACGCGCTGTGCGAGTTATGCAACGCGTTTCATTACGTTATTAGCGATCCGCACAACATTTAGCTAATCAGCAGCGGCAACAATGCGCGGGCGTCAAGCCGGAGCGCGCATTAATTGACTCCATCCGCGGCGGCATTGCTTGCGGCATTATTACACCGCGAACAATGCCGCCGCCGTCGCCGCAATGGGCCGGCGTGCGGGCGCGCTGGTGAACGAATCGAAATGAAACGGAATCGGTCGGCACGTGGAAAAACATGTGGCAATCGCGGACCGCAGATGGACGAGATACGCCGCCGCCGCCGCCGAACAATGCCCGCTCGGAATTTATGGGGTCGGACTCGCCGCTATCCGAGTTATATAAGTAATATACGCTAAATTTATAAATAGCGGATAATTGCAGGTGGCCATTGGGCGGGCGCAATGCGCGCAGGTGGGCGAATTAAATAATTAGCGCGAAATGAATTGGAATAAGCCGCTTGCCGCATTCGCGGTCGCACCGAATGCAATTTTATGCTAATGGTGCTTTAATTAAATCGATTTATTTATTTAACGTATCGGGGGCCGATCGTGCGAATTGAAATTTAATTTGTTATTATTGATTCGGTTAGCGCAAAATCGGTTGCAGTTTTGCACGGCCGCGTTTTTCGCGCGGAATCAATTTTGATGCACGGCTTTGGGGAGGCTGACCGCCCTCACGCACTCAGTCAATTACATAATTACGTTGATAGCGCGTGTTCATTTGGGAAATTTGGCTTTATTTAAATTTCGCATTTCCTATTTAAATCATCAATGTTATACAAAATATTTACACTGTTTTCGGGTGTCCAGTTCAGTCAGTAAATAATTTAAAGAATTCGAAATACGTAAAATGACGAGCGTACTTACAAAATTGTCGAAAATGTGAATTTATAGGTAGTAAAGCGTTGGTCGTATAATGTTGCGAGTTAGATAAATAGCCATTAAAATATAACAGTATCCGATGATGAGCGTCGACAATTCAGTGTCAATGCGTAAAGTGATAGCTGTTGCACTCCGCCCGCACTAGCACTTACTCCGGCGGTTTGGGAAATATTTGCGGAAGTTGCGAAAGTTAAATGGAAGCGATGCCTTTTCTGCGAAGCGCCGCAATATAATTGGCGTACAGCAGTCACGGTCGTGAGGTGCAGCTAAGCCGCCGCGCCAGGATGAAAATAGCGCGCAAATAAAATAAAACGACGCGAGCGAGAGAATGCAAAAATTAGGATGCAAGATGGTACAAGTTGAAAACTAAATTATGCAACAAGACAGTTTAGTTAAGGAGTTCGCCCGCCAGCCCTGCTTATAAGTTTAATGACAAACAACTTTTCTGCCGCCAGCCTCCGCCTTGGCGTATACGTAGTACGTATTTTTAATTCGCCCGATGCCAAATGCAGAGATGAAGTTTTAATTGAAATTTTTTGGACAATCGCATGCTCCATCAAGACGCGCGGGCGTGATGGTTGCGAAATTAAGTTTCGGAATCTTTCGGATGCTCGCGAGCATCTGCTGCTTCGGCCGTTTACGCCCGACCTAACAGCCAATAAAAATCAACAATTGTACGAGTGCTTCCCGGCCGAACTAATAACCGGCCCAGGAACGTTCAACGTCTCGCGCTCGACTGGAGTGCGAAATATTTATTAATACAAGGTTATCGTCACGTAGCCGGCCCGAACGAGCCGAGCAAATAGAAATCGCGTGTGTCGATCGCATCGGCGCGAATGCCGAGAGGCGATTGTGTCGCCGGCGTGCGAACTTGCCACACACCGTCCCAATTCCCCGATTGGCAATCGTGCTCGTGCGCGCCTCACAATTCCGAAACTTTCTATGGCAGAAATTGATTCTTTCGATTCGATTGTTGCAGGCATTGTGGTGCAGGCCGGCGACGGCGTCAAAATCAACAAGCTGAAAGTGCCCAAGCTAATAAAACACGGCTCGCCGTCGGTCATCTTGGACTGCGACTTCACGCTGGAGGACAGCGACGAGGAGCCGGTGGTCAAGTGGTTCTTCAATAACGATCGCACGCTGGTCTACCAGTGGATACCGGGTGAGTTTATTTTATTCCTGCGAATTCTAGTAATTGGATGTGAGCCGCTCGGCGGCCATGCCTGCGCCAGAGCCCAATATGAAACTTTTTTTTATGTGCGGCTTTTAAATAACTTTTTGCCGATGTAATTTTGTCGCATTTAGGACCGCACATATATTTTTTTATATTTACGGCCGTAAAACATTTTTATTTGCCCCGGCAACACTTGAAATTATTCCAAATGAGTTTGTGTTTAATTTCATGTCGTGGTTTTGCATTTGCATTAGGCGCGTATTTATTTGGGAAAAAACGCCGAAATTATATTTAAGATTGAATTTTATTTATTAACGAGTTTCACTTCAAAAAAGTCTCTAATGTTTGGCGGAGGTGATAAATTCGCTTGCGGGCGACGTTTACTATATACGAGTTGAATGTGGGGGCTTCGGTATATGGGCGACTAAAGTAAAATATTTGAAAAAAGGTGAAATTTATTAGGTCGTAAAAACCGCCGCCGATGGTAGAGTCGCAGCGCCACTTGGACGCCTTTTAATCGAGCCCCTCGTGCCATCGAAGGCACCCTCGCCGGGACTTGAACGCTCATTCAATGAAACAAAAACTAATAGACCGCGTGGTATTTGTGTTGACGCAAACAAACTGCAGCGGTGAGCAAAGTGTAAACGAATTCGTGTTTTGCAGGAAAACGTCCACAAGACTCCGGTATCCTGAAAGGACGCCTCAAACTGGAGTACAAGGCAAGCGAGGACCCCAACTGTCTGCACCGTGCGCTCTATATTCTGCAGCCGGGGCCCGATCTCTCCGGCAACTACACGTGCCTGGTGTCGACCTTCCAGAGCGAGGAAATCAGGACCAAGAGTATGCTCGTCTACGGTAAGCAAGGCATTGTGCCGTATATATTTATTCTTAACGTAAATTGTGTCTTGGCCGAATTGTTACGGCCCATGGCTTGGTTATGTAAATGTTTTCGGCGACTTGGTGGCAGGCGGCGCGGATCCGAGGACTTTGCAAATTAGCGAATGAATTTATGTATTAGATCTCTCGCCGGTCGCGTCCCTCCGCTGCTATTAGACATTTCATTTGCCTCGGAAATTTTATGCCTTCTGGGCAACTGCCACGCAATATTGTCGCGACGTCGCGTCACCAGTTGCACTCGCATGCAGCAGCGTATTATAACGAATTAACGAACCTGTGCTCGAGTCCTCTTCATCCGCTTTGCCGGTTTACCCAGCAGCTTACTCCGCCGCCCCCTCGGGCCAGCGAAAAACAACGCGCGCGCCCGCCCGGCACAGCGAAGGTTAAAGAACCGGGCACCGAGTTTAAAGATCAGACCAAATGCGCTTTTTATTGTGGCGCATCGCTTCTTTGCGGCGACGCGCCGATGCTCGGCTCCGACCTTTTCGCCGCCCGCCAGCATTTCGTATTCGAGGTATACGTACGTCATTAAAAGAACATAAATCTCTTCGAGTGCCGCCGCACGCCGCATGCGGGGGCGCCCAGAAGAAATTGTAAACATTCGAGAAGACAGAAAAATGCTGTAAATCAAAATACGCTTACAAGTCAACTTCAAGAGCCTTCGAATCGATTACGGAACTATACAAATTACGAACGTGGCGCGCACTGTTCTTGCACCATCGACTTCCCAACAAGATTGCGCTGATCAATCAGCACCAACTGATTTATGAGTTTTGAACTTGGAACAATACAACTCCAAACTCGTCAGGCCGTGGCTGCGGCTGCGTGTTTACTTAGCTTTTAATTCTCTTTGGTCTGTAGAGTTGCGGGAAACTCGAATAGGGGAATTAAGTCATCTGTTTCAACTTGTTTTACAAAACTTTAATGGCCTGCATTATTTTTCCTTCATAATGCATTCCAAAATAGCAACAGAGAAAAAAAAAACTTTTTCGCGAGATGAACTGATTTTAATGTAAATTTTTGTAGTTTTTTTCTCAATTAATACTTTTTGCAGAGTGCGCAAAATCCGGTATTATCTCTGTTATCAAACAAGCATTTCGAAATTAAAACATTCGGTGGATGCTTATGATGTTTACATGAATATAAATGCACATTTGCAAAGCGACGTACATTTATTCTCGAACGACACCGACGTACGAGTATCTTCAGCCAGGACGATAAATTCATGTCAACATGATATATCAAAATTGAGCGTTTTAAATTCTCACGTTACGATCGATAAATGCAAAATGAAAAATGAAAATACGAAAATGGATGATAAAAAGTCTTTGAAAAACATTAAATCTATAGTAATAAATTACAGCCGCCAGTGGGGTTGGCGTGCCAGAATATGCACTTTGTAGTCGCGTTGTCACAACAAAGATCCATGTTAAACCGAACTGGGCGCGATAAGTGCAGGTGTAGGAGTATTAGCTTGCTTTGTGCGCCGCCGCACGCGGAAATTGTACATTCGTACAATTCCGCCTTGTGCATTATTGAATAAGAAATAAGGATAATGAAGGTGTGGGCAGGCGTGTGTTATGATATTGCAGTTAACGCGTTTTTCCGCGATTCGCATCGAACGCGCTCTGAGAGTTGCGGCACTCTCGGCCACTCGCCGGCACACTAACACGCACGGTCTCGTTTTATAAATATTTATAACATTTAAGCCATTTTCATCGTGCCACATCGTACGTACGCTTTTTTTCCATTCACCCTTCGTTCCGACGCGGTGATAAATGCGTTGGCGGCATGAAAAATGAATTCTACTTCATATTTTTTCTACGATTACGATACACAATGTAACGCCGGGGTTGCGGTTGTGGCAGTGGTGGCGGCAACGGCGGCGGCGGTGGCATATTCGAGGCATCAGGAATCTAAATGGTAAAAATATGATTGCCATATTCAGGCGCTTGTCATAAATAAGGCGCGAACGCCGCGCACGCCGATATTAATCTTAATGAGTCAATCGACGCCGCCTATTTTATCCACCTGATGTGGAGTTTGGCGGATGCCGAAGGTCGTGCATCATTCTGGCGCGGGGTGGGCGCTACCGTGAAGGTGCAACTTTAATCGAAATCGCTATTTAGTTAAACGCATGATTAATGGCGGCGCTCGCGGGTGGGCGGCGCGCCGCCGATACTCATCAACATTCCGGCGAAATCAAGACGCGCGGGCGATTTTTCCGGAAGCGCTTCGAACGGATGTGGAAGTTGTAAATATTTTGCTGGTTGGAATCGCGGCGGCCTTATCCGTTTAACAGTTTCTATCACTCGGCTACGGCGGCGGCGGCGAATTCGTTTCGGTTTCGGCCGGTGCATGTTAGACGCGCATCGCTCATCGACCGGCCCCTCCGGTTACAATAACTTAACCATAACATAATATCCTCGCTGTTTAAGTGCCTTCACACGTGCATATTTTCCGCTAATGTCGGCCGGTGGAGGCCGTGCGCCGCCGATAAATCCCGCGCACGTTACAACTTTATTACTCGCACCGCAAACGTATCGGTACATAAATACCATTAGCGAGCCGGCGGGCAGACGAGCAGACGGAATGAAAATAAATATCGAAAGCGTCGAGGCGAAGGCGAAGTCGTTGGAAAAATAAAAGCATTCGCCAGATTCGTTTTTCTCCATCCGCGTTGCAATTGCGGCTGCTGCTGCTGTCCTCGCCGGCCGCCCGGTTGCATTGTGACGGCGAAGTGCATCAGTTATTTGATTTCTTTCACCGCGTGCGCGCGCGCGTTCTCCTTTATTTTTTAGTATGAGTTTGCTTTTCCGTTATTCCGTCATTCTGGTACGTTCAATGCGTTTCGGCATTTCGTCGCTCGGGCATTCGGATGGGACACAATGGAAAACGATTTTCTCGTTTTTCCTGCCGATGCGACGGGCGATGGGGAAAAAGACGAGTCGCTCAAGAGCCGATGCCGCCGCCACCCCGCTCGTACTGGAGCAGTGGAGTGCCGCAATATACACGAAAACTACTACTCGCAGATGAAGAGTCGACGAGTCTCGACGAGATGAAATGGTTTGCTCTCATGTTGCGAACGTGTGTTCGGCGTGTACGATCCGCATGAGATGGTGTTCGGTGTTCCGGCAGCGGTGGCGGCGGGAGGAAAGGCATTTCCTCGATCATTTTAAGTAATGCGTATTGAAAATCCGGCGGCGGGAGAATCGGCAGATCGGCGAATGGGCGCTCGCGCGACCGTCGTGACAACGACTCCGTCTCTTTCACCGCCCCACGCCACTGCGTACGTGAACGCCATCGACCTGAAATTGGTTTTATCGTTAACACCCTTTTTTCTTCGCGTCGAGCCCTTGTCTCCCAATTTCGCTCTCTTTGTTTATACAGATGTTCACGCCACGCCGAAAGCAATACTATTAACAGGCAAACAGTTTCCGACTTGAAGGCGCAACCGCCTCCCTTTGGCCATTAGCACGCGAAGATCCCCCGTCGTTCCAGATTGGGCTTCGCAGATTGTAAATCTATAATTCGATAACTGGGTCAAATTCTTGCGCATTGTTTTCTTTCCATGTTTCGTCGCACAAGGCAGCTCGGCGCGAATTTCAATACTAGCGAAAACATATTTGTTAGGCCGTTATATCGATAGGAAATCGCATTAGGTGTCAGGCGCGAAGACGTCGGCGCGCTCATTTCCTCTCCACGAGCTCGTCACAGAAGGCGCACGAAAACGTCGCGTTGCGTAATAACCTGATCTTAACATTGAAGTGTCAGCGGCAAGATCCTATGGCGCACGCGAAAATCTTCGGGAAATTGAAAAATCCTTCCCGCGCACCATCGACGGCACCCTCCACTGTCGACGCTTGCATTGCCTTTGATTCTACCGACCGGATCAAATTATTATTAATAATAATCGAGCCAATCGTATCAAGCGCCTATCGACACGTCGCTTAAATATTTTAAACGCTGCGCTCGTAAATACCCGCCTCCTTTAACTCAACGTGCGAGCGGAGTGGATATATTGGCGCGGCAGATTCGATTTTGCCAAATCGAATTTCCACATTGTCGGCGGCGTCTTCTCGTCATCCGATTTCGTATAAATTTAATTCAATAACGAAATCGATTACCTTTAAGTTAATTTGAACACTCGACTGGAATTTTGATGGCTAATTTTATTCCCGTCGCGGCCGACTTTTGGCGCACCTCGACGTCCAAAACTTGTAGCAGCCGCCGTCTACACTATGTCTTCATTAGGCTGGCTTGGGTTTATTAATTGCGTGAGTTGGTCATTAAATTCCAGTTTGGAGTTTCCGCGATACGTAGAGATTTGTGCGGAATTGTTTGGCGAAGTTTTTGTGTGGGCAAATAACAAAAACTCGCCGTCTCGAACAGCATTGGTACACATTGTGGCCGCGATGCACACGTAGACGTTTCCGCCGCCTGGGAGCGCTGATTCTACAAGTAGGACTTTCATCAATAACAGGATTAATTTCCATTTGATAAAATAATAGCCTCGTTTTCATTATCAAGAAACCGATTCGCATGCGTATTATAAATTGTAATCCGATTACGCTGCTCGTACACGGGGGCGGCCGCGACGGCAGGCCGAGATGCGGGCGCGCGGCCGGCGAGCAGTTTTAACTTTTGTTGCGTTCTGCAATGCTATTAGCGCAAATGCGACTTGCGCGAGTTGTACGAGTTGTGCATGCGGCGCTGTCGCTCGTTACTTCCCATTGTGCTTATGCGCGAAATAATGCGCCCATCAGCCCACGGGCGGCCGCGGCAGGCGGCGAGCATCGACGGCGCTGATTGGAAATTGTAACGGTCCGGAGGAAGATAAAACCGTTTTGGCGTTCGAAATTCGCAATTTATATGCAAAAAACTTGCCTATTTTTGGCGCGCGCGCCACGCCGCCTTGCCGGCCGCCCCCAGTCGTTGCGGCGGTTAGTTTTCCGGAT